CTAAAAAGGCGATGACTAAAAAGCATAGCTCAAAGCTATGACTAAAAAGCCGCATGGCTAAAAGTGGACTTGAAAGCACATGACTAAAAGCGAAAAAACTAAAAGCTAGACGCAAAAAGCAGCTAAAAAAAACATTTGTGGTGCCAGGATCTGATTTACGAACATCCTGTGTCTTGGGTCTTTCTGTGGAATTCGGCTCCTTGTGTTTCAACCATGTTCTTGATCGAATCTTAAATTGTCTGATTGGGTCTGATACCCTACAGTATTATAATCAATGTTCAAAAGAACTGTGCTGCTTAATAGTTTTGTGGAAACTGTAATACATTTTGAATGAAAAAACGTTATTCATTTGAAATAAAAATATTTTGTGACATCATAAATGTCTTGACTGTCACTTTTGAGCAATTTAATGCATCCTTGCTGCATTAATGCATTGATTTCTTAAAAAAAAAAAACCTTACTGACCAAACATTTGATTGGTATTGTAGATAGATAGATTGCACAAATGCATTTAAATGGTACCCATGTACACAAGATTCCAAAACCACATTTCTGTTTCTAAATAATGTACATCTGTGGATTGACATTTTGTTTATCTACAGGCCATCAGAAGAAGCTGATGCTTGCTGTTAAGAAGCTCAGTGACGTCCAGAAGGCACGTAAGAACCAGGCCGAGGGGCAGGCATTGCTACAGCGCAGGAGAGCTCCTCCCACCCTCGAGCTGGTGGCCATCGAGCATCACGACAGCTCCGAATGCCCCTCGTCACCTCTATCACCAAAGATGCTCACCTTCCAGGACAGTGAGCTGAGCGTTGAGCTACAGAACGCCATGGCTCGCAGCGGACACGGTGGAGGCCAAGATGGTTTCGGAAACATGAGTGGAACATCCATGCGTCTTAGTCAAGAAAGCATCGGTACACGGTCAGGAGGGTCAGGACGGTCGCAAGAACGTCCAATGGCATCGGTAACCCCCAACAGCCGCTCACAAGAGAGCCTAGGCAGTATGGACAACAGTCCCAGCAAGGAATCTCAGGATAGAAGCCAAATATCACCTGTAAAAATGGCACCAGTGTTGCCGCTACAGCATCATCACCCCTCATCTGGCAGTCCAGTAAGGACGCCACCCATAACTACTAGTAAAATAGCACGTTTCGCATATCCACCCGTCCTCACCAAACCTAGACCGGTGGTTTCTCCCTCTCAGCCCCATCATGGATCACCTCATCAGAGGGCCTTCAACTACCTGCAGCATCAAAACTGCTATGCCAACATGGGAAGCCCAAGTCCAATCAGAGCCCCGCAGCCAAACGGGGACCCGTCCCGGTCCAAAAAGCGCACTCAGAGTCTTTCACGCTATGCTATGTCGGATGGAGAGAATGAAGAAGATGACATCTCAGCCCCTATGACAACAACCGCCAATGTGGCGTCTTATGCCACACTCACTCGCAAGCCAGGCCGCAGCCAACCATCTTACAGTTCCAGTGAGCGCCAAGTGGGCCGCAGTCATTCCTTCGCCATACGTGCCAAGAGGAAAGGTCCTCCTCCTCCCCCTCCAAAGCGACTAAGCTCTGCCCCAAGTGGGGCAACTGCAAGTGGGGTTGAAATGGAGAGCGCAGGAAGTGTCAGAAGCATTGCAGCCAGGCTGGAGAACAATACAGGAAGCCCCAACAAGGCATGTAACAGCCTTGTTTTTAAAGCCATGTCCCCAGCCATCTCGCCAAAAAATATGGAAAACCGTAGGAGGACCACTAGTGAATCTTCAACGTATGAAACGAAGCATGGTGGAGAAAATCCTGCTGGTGAAAACCTCAGCCCTCTGAGGAACCAACAAAGTTCAACATCATCACAGGAGAGCATACCTTTCGCAGAAGAGGGCAAAGTTACCATCAAACAAAGGACCAAAATAACATCCGCTAAGATAGAGTCTGAGGCCGCTGTTGAAATTCTGAAGCCGGTGCAATCTATCAAATCATCCCTAGAGGTGCCGGAGTTTAACTTAAAGGAATCAGACACAGTCAAAAGGAGACACAAGCCAAAAGAACTGCAGATGAAAGGTCAGGGCAGCAGCATGCAAATAGGAAATGAGAGGGCCGCTGAGACTGAGATGGTCTCGCAATGCATGCAGAATGGTGGATTGACAAAAAATCCTTATAAATCTAGCCTCTCTCCGAAACCAGGCTCTCCACATAAACCTCCCACCCCTTCTAAGCCCACACGCCATTCTTCTGCAGCAAACTCAGGTACTGCAATGTGTTAAGGCTATTATTTAAAATGGGAAAGAGCACTGTATATTTTTTTAATGTGAGTTTGAAGATTGTATCAGAAAAGGATTTTTATTTTTTAAAAATATTTTACAATTTATTTATTGAATTTATTTAAATTTATTTTGAACAAATACTTAACTACTTCCAAGCATACACTACCATTCAAAAGTTTGGGGTCAGTATGATTTAATTTAAATTTAATTTTTTATTTTTGAAATAAATTAAGTACTTTAATTCAGCAAGGATGCATTCAATTGATTAAAAGTGACAGTAAAGACATTATAATGTTACAAAATATTTAATTTAAAATAAATTCTGTTCTTGAAGTTTTTATCAATTAAAGAATTATGAAAAATGCATCACACTTTGCACAAAAACATAAAGCAGCACAGCTGTTTTTAACATTAATGATAATAATAATACGAAATATTTCTTGATCACCAAATCAGCATATTAGAGTGATTTCTGAAGGATCATGTGACACTGAAGACTAGAGTAATGATGCTGAAAATTCAGCTTTGCCACCACATTACATTTTTTTTTTTTAATCAATAAATGCAGCCTTGGTGAGCATAAGATACTTTAAAAAACATTATAAATTACTTACCGACCCCACACTTTTGAACAGTAGTATAGTTATGAATGTGTAGGTCTTATAGGCTCATTTACAGCAGAACTGTGTTAATGCCTGAAAACAAGATGCTTTGAGTGCATGCTAGAGATTATATCATTATATTTGTCATTCTCAGCTTTAAATATCAGCATTTATTTCCATCAATTACCAATAAATCACATCAGCACTCATGGATCTGAAAATTGGTCTTTATATGCACGATATGATTTGAATTAATGTACAGGAGGTCTGATCACACATTAGAGGCGTTTAAAGATGTTCCTCTTAATCTGTCTTTATTTACAGCTGTAAATGTCAAATATATATAATTAAAAAAAAAACTAATTTTAAATGATCATTTATATAAAAATAATTTCCCGTTTTAATCATATAAAACACATTTATACTTAAAAAGTCTTGTAGGGTTAATCTGCTTGATGCTTTATTTGGAATTTTTCCATTTTTGTGTGTCAGCCCATTTTACTCAAAAACAGTCAAAAACAAAAATATATAGGGCATAACTTTATTGTTTTATTCATCAGGATTGATTGGATCAAGTGTTATTTTAGCGTTTTTATGAATTTATTAATGTCATTTTATATTTTTATTATATTTAAATTAAACAAAATTGTATTAATTCTTATGTGCTTTTGTTTTTTAATATATATTTCTATTAAGCTTTATTATTATTTACTTTCAGTTTTAGTAATATTAGTACTTCAACTTAAACACATTTCAGTTATTTGCCAAGGCAACATTTGTCATTTTTTCAAATGTAAGCTTCTTAAGTATCTAAAATTTGTATTTTATTTTAGCTTTATTTCAATGTCCAAAAACGTTGAATAATAGTTTTAGTTTATTAATAATAAATGCACTAATTGATGCTACTGAATTAGAAAACTAGCCCTGGGATCCTCACATACGTTTGCCCATGGTTCTATTTATTAACGTATGCTCTTACTAAATTATTGTTCTATCTCCACCTTTTGGCTGTGGTCAATTTTCTTCAGGAGTGACAGTCAGTGTCGTACAGAGCGTGGCCTTTGCCGTCTCACCTCCCTGTAGTCCTCTGGCTCGCTGTCCACCAAACAAAGCAGCTCAAGGTCAGTCTGTACTGGCAGGAAAGCCACAGGCTGTGACGGAAGGCCAGAACGTGCTGGTCCACAAACGACTTGAGCAAACCAGCACGTCTCTCGAGGCAGCACTTAAAGTTGTGGAGAAGAAGTTGGCTCAGGAAGATCCAGCAGACAGGTAACACAAACCACTTATGTTTGTATGTTTGTAACTGTCCTTTTTGTCATATAATAGGTCAGTAAATGTATTACAGCTTGAATTCACTTTTTCCACACGGTAGAGGTAATTCTGTATTCTATATTTCGATGAGACAGGTTTGCAGATGGTCCTATAATGACTGAATGACCGCTTGTCACAACAAGCCCGCTGGGAAATCTAGCAATAAGTGATCTATCTCCCTTCAACTAGTGTGTTTTTCCTTTGACTCTGATCGTTTTGGCTGCGATGAAGACCGATTGTTGATGTCCTTATCTCACGGATGGAGACAGATGGTGTCTACAATTTGGACTTTTCATTTGACTCCCCTCCTATTTTGTCACAACAAATCCACTCTCAGCAGTGTAGCTGGTCAATCTGTCTGTGTTGAACCACATTTTGCATTTTGAACAGATTTAGCTCATAGCGGAGCATATGCTAATCCAAGATAAACCCCCTGTCATAGTGTTTTAAATATATAGATGTTATGAATCTAATCCTGATGGTCCTGACTGGTACTGATGCTGTCATATGAGTTGAACACTATATACTGGGTCTCCCTTTTTTTTTTTCTTCTTTTTTTTACATTTTTACATTTTAAACAGTAGTATGCTACTGTACCTTATAATATGACATCAGCATTTAATTATATATTAATTTAATAGCATGATATATGAATGAATTTAGTAATAGACTACTGTTCAAAAGCTTGGGGGTAGTAAGTGTATGCATGTGTTTTTATATATATATATATATATATATATATATATATATATATATGTATATATATTAGTGCTGTCAATCAGTTAATCACCTGAAATTAATCACGATTAATCCCACCTAACATTAAAGTTTTTAAGTATACTTTTATATTGCGAATAATTTCACATTAAATCTTAAAATTAATGTAGAAACAACATAAAGACAGTACATTTTTAATATTTGTTTAATGGCATCTTTTTTTATGACTGAAGGTGAGTATCACTGCAATACTACTGATGTCTCTAGGAAATTTTTATTTTTTCCTAATATTTAACCACATACTATAGCCATTCAACACAGTATTTGAGAGCTAAAAATAAAAAAAAAACTTGAGACTTAAAAAAATAACTTCTAATTTAAGTGAACTTATCTTCTCCTTATCTCACGGATGGAGACAGATGGTGTCTACAATTTGGACTTTTCATTTGACTCCCCTCCTATTTTGTCACAACAAATCCACTCTCAGCAGTGTAGCTGGTCAATCTGTCTGTGTTGAACCACATTTTGCATTTTGAACAGATTTAGCTCATAGCGGAGCATATGCTAATCCAAGATAAACCCCCTGTCATAGTGTTTTAAATATATAGATGTTATGAATCTAATCCTGATGGTCCTGACTGGTACTGATGCTGTCATATGAGTTGAACACTATATACTGGGTCTCCCTTTTTTTTTTTCTTCTTTTTTTTACATTTTTACATTTTAAACAGTAGTATGCTACTGTACCTTATAATATGACATCAGCATTTAATTATATATTAATTTAATAGCATGATATATGAATGAATTTAGTAATAGACTACTGTTCAAAAGCTTGGGGGTAGTAAGTGTATGCATGTGTTTTATTTAAGTGAACTTATCTTCACAATCTTCACATAAACCCATTATAATAAATGCCATATTTACCTGTGCCCTTCAGCAAGTAGGAAGTATCCAGAAATTGAATATTTATATTGAAGTTATCAACACTAAATTCTAAATTAAATATAGATGAATCCTTAAAGCTACAAAAGTTATTGAATTATTTTTTCTTTTGTTCTTTGATTAACAGACATCACAGTAGCTGGGTTATTAGGTATTTGGCTGCTATTACTTTTAAGAGCTGCTGCTGTGAACATGATGCAGATCTGACACGCATGTTCGTAGTTTTTGTGCATGCAATTGAAGAGCACGCGCTACGATCACAGTATAACGGCTGACAGGACAGGAAAATTTGATTTTACTGACATATGACCTGACAACATCTCATCTAACCGCAGTTCACTGTTGTTCTGCTGAAGCTCCTCGTCACCAGTACCGTTTCTGTACTTGTTTGACTAGCGCCTGGAGCTGAGGTGAAGTGGAGTGCGCGTCTGAAAAGTCTCCTATTTGATGTGGTCGTAAAGACATTCTACGTCTAAATAAATGCAATCCTTGTCAAGAAAAAAAGAGACAGAAGCAGCATTTGTGAGTGGGGTGGCCAACCCTAGCTCTGCCCATGTGTTAACTGCATCAAATATATTTAACACTGTTAAACTGGAAAAATTTATCGCCTGCATTAACATGCTAATTTTGACAGCACTAATTAATATATAAACAATAAAAACAGTATTATTGTGAAATATTATTACAATTTAAAATAAAAAATATTCCCATAATGGCAACGGTGAATTTTCAGCAGCCATTACTCCATTTTTCAGTGTCACACAGAAAAAATTATGTTTTTCTACTTAAAAATTTCACATTTAATTCAACGTGTTAAATTGTGTTTCTTGCCATTTTTGTGCTATATTTTTTTGTACTGTAATTTACTAGCAATTAAAAAAAAAAAAAAACCTAAACCAGATTTTTTTTGCACAGTCCTTCAGAAATCATTCTGATATGCCGATTTGGTGCTCAAGGAACTTTTTTTTTTTTCAAAGCTATTGTGCTGCTTAATATGTTTGTGGGAGTGGTTATACTTTTTCCCCCCCCAAGACATCTTTTGTAACATTATAAATATATTTTCGGTCACTTTTTATCAGTTTAATGTACCCTTGCTAAATAAAATAATACATTTCTTTTAAAAAACCTTGCAAAATCCAAACTTTTAAATATGCATATTAATTAAATGTGCATATCAGTATATTATTATTTGAAATAAAAATGGTTATTTTGGCTATATACATGGTTAATGTTATCTCCAGTTCATCTATTACACTGAAAGTTGAGATGAATTGCATTGCATTGAAGGAAACTACTCCCACAGTGCATCTCCAACAGTTGCTCATGGTCCTGAAAATTGCAAACTCTCATTGAAATTGAAAATGACTACAGGTTGCTGTCAGTGTAAACACTCCTTTATTAAAGGGGTCATATGACGTTGCTAAAAAAGAACATTATTTTGTGTATTTGGTGTAATGAAATGTGTTTATGCGGTTTAAGGTTAAAAAAACACATTATTTTCCACATACTGTACATTATTCTTTCTCCTCTATGCCCCGCCTTTCTGAAACGTGTCGATTTATACAAAGCTCATCGTTCTGAAAAGCGAGGTGTGCTCTGATTGGCCAGCTATCTAGTGCGTTGTGATTGGCCAAATTATTTGTCAGCATCATAGACTGTATAGGGTCAGCATGCACGCCGAAGGAAAAACAGGGGAACTGAATTCACCGGAAAACCGGCATTGTAGGCTACTCTCCCAGAAACAGTCCTTCGTCCTCCATAAATGCCGCTGCCACATCTGAAT